AAGGGGGGGGGTTCGGGTAGGGGTTAGATTTTAGGGGGGAAGGGGGGGTTTGGGGCGTGGGGGAGGGGGGAGTTGGGGCCCTGGGAAAGGGTGTTGGCCCCCGGGGGAGAGTGGGGGGAGGAGAAAAAGGAAGGGGGGTTCGGATGGGCCTTTAAAATGGGTGGGGAAAAATCCCACCCCCCCTTTTTTTTTAGATGGGTTTTTTAAAAGCAGGTTTTTTCCGGGCCCGAAAAAACTTTCCCCAAACAAAGGGACAGTTTTTGGAAAACCCAAAAAAAAAAAGGGTACGCTTCGGGGCTTAGGAAAACCCGGGGGATTGTGGCCTTCCCCACCACAGGGGTTTTTTGGGCCCCCAAAACCCTTAAGCCCAAAAAACAGGTTTTTTTTTGGGTAAAGGGGGGCAAATGGAAAAAAAATTGGAAAAAGGGGAATAGGACCCCGGGGGGGGTTTTAAAACCCCCCCCCCCCCCCCCCCCCGCGCGCGTTTTTGAGTACGCCCCCCCCCCCGCCCCCTCGGTGTTTGCCATCGGGGTTGGGTTTTCGTCGCTTGGCAACGACGTTGTAAAACAAGCCAATTCACTTCGTGAACTCGGCAACCAGGTTACCGTTTCTTTTTTTTTACCTCGTTTTTTTTTTGGGCGGTAACCATTATGGTGGTCGAGTAGATTATGTTGTGCGGGGTCGAGAACCCTCACTCCGTGCAAGGGGGATAATCTCAGCACGTTGTGTTAAAATGGTCAAGCATCCTCGAGGCAGCCACACAGTGCTTACAACTGTCTCTGGAAGTGAAAGCACCAGAAAATAAATAAAGTCATACGCAGCTGTCATCCGTACGCAAGGAAGTAAGCACAAGATGCCGAACACCCTTAGCAGGATGCAGCGCACCCTTCATGCGACTCGCCGAATACCTCACGGCGCTTCGTGCTTGGTGATGTGAGAGCCTGGTCCGGGGAGAACCCGGCGTGCTCCGTCCCGGCTTCGTATGGATGCGAGGTCAATATGGTCAAACGATACGGCATGCACGACTATGAGTACCCCCCCCCCCCCCCCCGATTTCCCCCTCCGTGACCGAAGGAATTGCCATGTGTAGTGTGGCAGAGGCTTCAACCCCGCTGGATGTTGGCAGGTGTCTCTGTTAAGGGTAGGATTTTGCGGTGCTCCTCCTGTCTCAAGAGGACCAATGCGTGGCCAACACACATGACGGAAGTGAAGCAACAACTGCCCGCCTCCCTCCTCAAATGCAAGGATGATGTCTGTTGCATCCTTGTAAAGCGTAGCCTGGGCCGGCGAATATATCGCTCCTCCGTCCCGGCATTGTAGGGATGCGGGGTCAACGGTCTAACGAAGGCGGCATGCGTGTACATGAATACCCCCCCATTTTTGAGCCACCTTTGGCAAAGTAGGAAGGAACGATTGGCCATCAGTTGATCGGTCCTGTGGGAACAATGCTCCGTCCTCTCGAGGACGCGTGGTCAATGGTCTACCCGCTAAGGCATGCAAACGTAAGAGTCCCCCCCCCCCATGCCATGTTAACATTCGCCGCCCCCCTCCCCCTCCGGTTCCCTGGACAGCCGTCGTCGCGGCTGCCGCCGCCTCCCCCCACGCGGCGGACGAAGAGAATCGCGCGATGGCAGACGTGGCGAAGGACTCCCTGTCCAACCTGTCTCTCATCCTCGGCAAGACCGGGCCTGCTTTGGACGCGCCGGGGCTCGTGGCAAAGTTGTGCGGGGTGGGGGAAGGATCGTCCGCAAGCGCTGGCGCCTGCGGCGGCGGCGGCGGGGGGGGGGGGGGGCGCCTGCGGCAA